TATCGGTCTCGTGAAATTCTCTGGGATCCTCTCGGATCGTCGCATCCCTTATCCGAGAAGGCGTGCACACGGGTCTACGTTGTTCTTTGTGCGCTTCGAAAACCTCTCATTCGTACGGGCTTATTCAGAGAGATTTTCGGGGTATGCGTTGCTCTTTTCCTTTCGCTCGACGCCTCTTTTCCGATGACTGACCGATAGACTGTCGGCAGATGCGTCGTATACAAATATAATACAACACGACTTTGTTTCTTTTTACATCTTCATGGAATTTTCATCGAGGCTAGACAACGAATGAGAGATTTTCGTAGCTCGAAAATGCTAGGACTTTAGAAAATGTAGGGTAGCTCTCACTGTTCATCGCGAAAGAGGAGTTCTGAAATGCTGAAATTCTCAAACTTTCAAACTATCAACGACACGATAAGACTTTCTCTCTTGACGATCAACACTGAGAACCCACCTTTTCTCGTGAATGCTCCTCCTCCAGTGACGAATTCGAAAAGAACGTATACTTGCCTGGTCGATGGTGAGTCTTCCTTGCTACCTCGCCTAGCTTCCGCGCTCCTGGCTAGCAGCGGACCGATGTCCGTCCGCGCCATGGCCTGCTCGTTCCTCTGACGATCCTGTACGGCCGAAGGTGTAGTCGAGGGTGCGGTGGTCGAGGGGTGAGCTTCGTTTTCCGATTCTTCCTCGGTCTCGGATTCCGTCTCCTCCGAGGAGCTGCTCGTCTCCTCGTCTTCGTCCTCCTCCTCCTCCTTCTTCTTCATCGAGCTGTCTTCCCGCGGCGTCGAGGTTTGCGTGGGCGGTGGTGGTGCTGCACGGTTACCTAAAGAAACGTCGGGAAACTGTCTTACATTCTCGAATAAAATACAAGCTGCTCGCTTCATCGGCCGTTTTTCTTCGGCAGGAAATTGCTCCCCGATAAAAGCCCTCGTTACAATTAGGCTGATCGGATGTTGGACGAGTAGCATTCCGCTAAGACCTGTACCGAATATCCTGAGGCTAGGGGATTACCGAAGTATCGGGTTCCTGGATTTATTCACGGTTATCCGGGATAACAAGGTCGTTGCGAAACTTTACGGACGCGTAATAATGTTAATTGAGCCGCTACGAGGGTGGATTTTTTCATCCGTGAAACGCCAGTCTGAATCTAGAGGGTGATGCTACATTCTGGATTAAAGGGCGCTACTCGCAACTTTACGATGCGATTGTAACTTGACGTATAAATCACAGCGAATTTCAGGCGATGAACTTATTCGGGTAAGTGGGCTGAATTCGATAGTTGGGGTGAAACAGAGGGTTGCGTTACCTGTGCCTAAAAAACGACTCTGGAAGGATCGGGACGCGGGCAAGGCGGACCCGGAATCCTTGCCGGGCATCGGGCCGACTTGTCCCTGCGAGGCCGAGGTTGTCGTGTTCGAGGCCGGTGCTCTCGACAAGTATTTCTGCTTCATTTCCTCGGCGGTGAACGGCGCGCCCGTGCTGCGGATTCCTGATCCGCCGGAGCTCTCCGAGCCCGTGCTCGAGTCTGATGAAGCGCTTCTCGTCGCCGGAGTGTGGGTATCCGTCGAAGTTCGCCTGCGAGCAACGATATTTCAATTAACGACTTCCTCGAGTCGGAAAAGCCGACGATATTGCCGCCGGCCGCGGTCCCTCGTTACGCGTTGCGTCGCCTGTCATCCCCCTTGATCCGTTAGCCTCGTCGCGAAACGCGTCTTTCGATTCTGTGCACCGACGAACGGTGTTTTACCGAAGAATTTTGGTCGGTAGCGGAGATACGCGGTACGTCCGACACGACGAACAGTTTTGTTCTTTCACTATTTTTGCCTTGCCAGTTGTTTGAAAATAATTCGGAACAGTATAGAATTCAATTTCGTTCGATAACATTCGGACGAAATTGAATTTCGCGTTTATTATTTTCTAACTTACCAATGGAAATTTCCTGCGGCGGAGAAACCGCCGAGAGACTCGATCTTAAATCAGCAGTACACCCCGAGCGCGGAGCGTGTTCGAAATTCAGGAATTAAAATTGTTCCTCTTTCGTACCAGTTCTGACCATTCGAACGCTATCTCGTTAAAATGCCCCGCATAGCGCAACAAACCTATATATAAAAATTCCCCGCGGAAAATTTGGCTCGATTGAAAAAAAGGTACGTCGGCGCAGTATAGTGGGTGGTTGGGTGGCGCGACACAAAAAGCTGACCTGCTTAAATTTCCGCGAGTGTTACGGGGGAATTTGCATGGACTGAAAACCGCTGCTCCCATCGAGCATTCTTCGTGACCGTCGCCGAAGAATCTCTCTTTCTCTTTTTCCGTTCATTGTGCGTACCTTTGGAATTGAACAAATTCCTGGGTGAAATATTTCGAGGGTCGCAACGCGGTCGCGAGGAGGAGCACGGTTTTTCAGGAAAGTTTCCTCTACGCGGCTGTGGAAAAGGGTTTTCTGGTTTTCCGTTGGTGCGGTATCGATTCCGCAATTAAAACGTAATGCTACATCACGAGGCCGAATCGAATACGCCTCGAGAACTTGGCCCGCGCGATCGCAACGATCCGTTTCTACCGAATGGACGTAAATCAGGCTGTCCGACCAAGCACCCTTCGCTACTACTGCGAGAGACTACGGAACGAGGCCCGCGAACTCGACGTTAGTCGGATCAGGCTGTATGTTCCATTGGCAAGTTACGAGCGTCTAATTTCTCGGGGGAAGCTCGTTCTACTAATATCATCGCGTTTCTTTAGAAACCGTCGGACAAACAAATTCGTCGGTTCGGACGATATCATTATATACGACTGTTCGATTTCAGATTGTTTCGAGGATAGAACTCTGGAATGTTTGCTTTCGTACGATGCATCTGTACGCGAAATATTGAAATGGCATAGTTTGTAAGAATGAAGTTACCTCGAAGTGATCGGTCTTCGCGCTGGTTCCTCCGGTTCTCGTTCCGGCGGTGGTTCTCTGGGCGGCGGATGAGCCGGTGCAGGTGTCTGGGCTGGCGGTCGTTCTTCCACCGTCTCGGTCGCAGGTGCGGCCGCGGTTTTGTTCTGCTTTTTGATCCTGGAAATCTCGTCGTCCTCGCTGGTCTGCCTCGCCATCGCGGTCGGTACCTTCCTGACCTGTACCTACGCGATAAACAGAATTATTTAACACCGTTGACGTTGGGGGTGGACTGGTTGAAATGTTCCCGATTAATCGTCCCACGCTGCTTTTTCCTTTCCACGTCCCGACCCATTCACCGAGCTAAATTATTCATCGATGATTATCTCTCTCTCTCTCTCTCTCTCTCTCGCTCTCAGCATTCGTCGGTTTTCCCGCATTATTTATCGATTCGCCGCATATGAAATTGCCGATCGCGGATAACGAGTTCCCTCGCTTTTTAATTTCTCGATCGTAATAGCTTCGATATTGCGGCGAAACGCGGATAATGGGCGGAGAGTCGGAAGAACTATATCCGCAGAATCGCGAGAGTGGTTTTCCAGGTTTTGTTGTACGATAATGTTCCCCTTTGTTTTTGAAAGAATAATCGTACAACAGCTGTACGAGCGAGAACGTCGATTCCCGTCTCGTTCCTCCTGTTCGCCGGGCTTCGTTTGTCAAGGGTGGAGCTCGGAGAGGAACGAAGTAGAAGAACCGCATTCCAAGAGCTCGTTTCGAGGGTTGCCGACGGGGATAGGTTTGATTAAACGCGACAGTTAGAAGCCAACGAATAGTTCCGTTCAATCGGCTCGAAGCGAAAGGGCAATTTCATGTGCGCCGATCTAATATGGCGTTCGAACGCACCAATCACGGATGATTGTAGGGTTCAACGGGACGGAAGAGGGGGGTTGCGGGTGGTCGCGGATGAATCCGTGAAGGAAATACGACCAGTTCTGATACAAGGAAAATAATTGTATTCGTGTATTCTTTCAATTTGTATTATAATAGGATTGCACTTGGTACAAAAACACGTGTCGTGTGTAACTGCACTCTCCAAACACATCCACTCTGCGTCTTCGATTATTTACATATTTATAAAGCCAGAGATCAAGCACACAAGTTCCACGTTGCGCCGCGCTCTCGCATTGTCCTCGCGAGCTATCGAATTATTTTAAGAGATCCTCTGGGGAGATTTATGCCCGTTACGTGTCCACAGTAGGGCTCGATATGTACATGTGTATAGAACTACGCCGCAGTCGGGTCTGTGGCCGATCACGTTCACCGATCAAAAATTTACTTTTTCCCCGTTGAATCGCATCCAAAGGCGATCCCTCACGCGAGATTCAAAGCTACGTTTTCTCCTCGTGCTCTTTCTTTCTTTCTTTCTTTCTTTCTTTCTTTCTTTCTCTCTCTCCTTTGCTGCTCGTCACGTATCCTGTTCCCCCGTATTTCGCCCGCCATAATAAGGGAATCCGTGGAAAATTTCTGCGCGGTCGGATCACTGTCAAAAACAAATACGAACCGTGTGAAATTGACGTGCCTCGAATTTGCTCGTGCGATCGTTATTTAGTCGCTGAACTTTTATTGCTAGCTGGACACGCGGGACAGTTTCCGCGAAATCCTCGGCGAATTTCTGAATCGAGAAGCAGGTGAGATTCAAGGGAGGGTACACGCTCGAAAATGTTAGGACGATTATGGAGGTTCAAAGGGACTGGAACAATTCGTTGAGAATTAGTCAAAGTTCCAATTCGCTGTTCAACTATTCGGTAGACTGTCTGCGCGAAAGACCAAACGGGGAACTCGTGGAATCGATGTGTACCAACTTTTTGTACGGAAGCTCAATGACACAGAGAAAGCACACATTACCAAACTACACAAATGTACACAGCACAGGGACGCAACGAGTAGATAAACAGGATTCGCGTGTATCTAAATACATGTTTGTATTGTTCCGACCAGCAAACCTGACATATAACATCAACGAAATATCATCCTAACACT